CATGATTTAAGAAACAAAAAATGTCTTAGCAGTAGACGATCCATATTAATCAATTGTCCTCCATCTTCTCGAGCTTCCTAATTTATTTTCATGCTATAATAAAGAAGTTATTGTTATCTTGATGCCATTGATTGTGAATTAGCACGACTCGATTTTGTTCTAAAGGTACAAGATCGTTCAGGTGATCTATGTGGCAATTGAGCAAGGTTCGATCAAAGTGATTCTGAGGCGGTAGTTGAGTGTCCGAGGCAACTCCTGAGTCCGTTTGAGGTAGGCTCTTGCCTCCTTAAGGTTCTGAGGTTGAGCTAAGGTGGGCCTTGTCTTCTTGGGGATCCTGCATAAAAGGTTAGCATTGGGGGGAGGGATTTCCTGACCCAACTCTTCGATGGCAAAGTTAGTTTTTGATGAGTTGAAACAGTAGTGAGTTCGAGTTCGGTCCTTCTTCAAACCTCAAGGACTAGCTTTTATACTTGGACAACCGACAGAGGAGAACCGATGATTGATAGGGACTAGCTTATATATCCTTCTGTAACGTATTCATGTAGACGACCGACCCGTACATTCTTTTGTGGTGCATTCATGTGGACGAACAATCTGTACAACCCCTTATAGCGTGTTGTCAGTAAGGACGATTATAAGGCCATCACCTACCCATCCTAGCGGTTGTTGGAGACAGTCGGATGGTTGTCATTTGTGCGAGCCAACCGGGAAGGGCGTAGGTAGGTTCGATTGCCCTTGATGATCCGCCTGTATCGCCTCCCTCGTGTTATGATTTGTTGGTCGTGACAAGTTGCTGCTCTACCATTAGTTGCAGGAGAGGGATGATTACGACTGATACCAACATATTTCCTTATCAGAACTAACTATATATTAGGCATAAAACTTGCACACCTCCTTTAGATAGTCCATGTTGTAATTAAGCTTTCATAGCATTTTTTTTTTTTGTTGTGAAGCAGACAAGTCCAGCAATATGTTCCATCAGTTTAGGACCTTCGTTGTCCTTACTTTGGGCTTTTCTCGGTGGCAGGAACTATTGACGGCAGTTGCAGTCAAGGAAGTGATATTAGGAACTGATCTGATGGCCTATACTTATGTGGCTTAGTTTGACCCACAGATTAGGTGGTTTAGCAGTCGATAGCTCTGACAGAACACTGGAGAAGCAACAGAGGCTCCTTTATCTATTTAGAAAGAAGCACTCTATCAATTAGCATTAATTTTGTTTGGTGCCACAAGTCTCGAGGTTGAGGCACTGGCCAACTTGTATATTTTTATTTATAAATGAAGTTGAGTTTGCACCATTTAGAATTAAGGACTTTGTAATTGTGCAATAGAATTTGAACAGGATTGATGAATTTAGTGTTGTAATTCGAGAGAAATTTAGTTGCAGCACCGATTGATGCATTTTGGATAGAACCGTTCAGTGTCAATTATGTAAGATTAATTATATTTATTATTCTTCTAATCCTCGGAGCTTATGATTCCAACATTGTATACTTGTTCTGAATTCATTAATGAATCAAATGTCTGTAGCTTGCTACATCATGGAAGACTCAATTTCCTTCTCATATTTTGTATACCGATAAAAATAATAATTAGAAAGTAATTAATTATATTAATAGTGTGATTAACATATTTAATGATGATTTGATCGTAATTTGATCTATATTGGATCAAGTTTACATATTTAATACTTCCTATGATATTTAACATATTTATAGCAGTAAAATATAACTAATTACGATGTAATTAAGTTTTTTTTATTATAATTAATATATTTAATAATAAATTTAATCATATCGAGTCAATTCTACGTATTTAATACTGAATATGTTGATTGACATATTTATAGTGACAAAGTAGGGTGTATTACGTGTAATCTCGTATTATTATTTTAAATTAGAGTTAATCATAGTTTACTTGTTTGATTCAATTTTGGTAGAAACATGATACTAAAAGAATAGACATATGATGATGCTTAGAATCATGCTTGAAAAATAGACGAGAACTATCATCACTAGTATAGATTTATTGTAACTATATTGACAAGGGTGGAAGAATCATCCGGGTGAAGATATATTTGGTCGATGGGTATCTCAATATTGTAAATTATAAGAAGGTTCTAATAGAGGTTCGTAAGTCATTTCAAAACAACTTACAATGGGCAATGGAAGATATACTTAAGAAAAATACTATAAGTCTATGTAGGAATCGATTCATGATGGATATTGTCACGACCCAAGTCTGATGAGCCAATTGGCCAATAACTCCATTTTGGTCCTTCAACCACGGAACAAAATGCTTAAGCGGGAGTTAACATAGTACACTCATCAGGCCCTTATAAACTAATCATACACATTGCCCACTTCCGATGTGGGACTAATGGGATGTTACAGATAAAAGGATTGCGACGATGATATCGACTTAGATTTTAGAGCTGGTATTCATACATCACTAAAGCATTAGTACATGTACGAGAAAGTATTGAGGTATCGACGACCTAACTCACAATAAGAGCATGGTAATAGTGATGAGTCTATACCACAAGGAATCTAAAAATTGGCTAGTATAAGACAACTAATTGTCCCTTCTCAGTTGAGCCAAATTGGTAACATGAGGCAGGGTGGAATCCATAATTTTATGAGAAGACTTGATATGAGGTCGAAGTAGCGGAGAACCGAGAGGATCCTCTACTTAATGAAGTGAGATATCCTCCACGTCTTTCATATTTTATCACCAAGGTAATAAAAGAAGAGGAAGCATATCCCCAATAGGAGAAAGATCCCCCTTGTCAAAATATGATGAAAGGAGTCATACAATATTGAGTCAAATTATTTAAGGAACTAGAGATACCCAACCATTATAGTCATTCATCCATTGTACAAAGGTAAAGGGGAAGATAGTAGTATTAACTATACCATTGGAAAGATTCAAGTCGAGCAACAAGACACCTTAATTGTATTTAGTAATCCACTCGGTCCAAGGATACGACAACAACATGGACAACAATGTCTTGATTGACAATGACGACAATGGTGGGGAGTCAATTGTCCCATTTACATAATTTGAGAATGGCGAATAGATTAAAAAGTAATATTTTATACATATTACTCAAGATTGTGATCATGGAGCTTGACAAAGTACTAGTCAAGTTTATAAATGGAAGAAGAAGGAGAAGATAATGGATGATTTTGAGTAGATACAATAGAGCTTACACGATGTTGACATAAAGCGAAGCTCATCATATTATGGAGAATCTTATAGCTAATAATAGTATGATAATAATTAGTCATTCTTCTCCAAGTAGCATTATAATGATCGATCTTATGATAGAGTAGTATATCAATAACGAAAATAGAAGTTCTGACATTCTTTATGTACCGCACCAATACATGTTACAATTATTCTTGTCTCATGAGCTACTTCGAATACATATGGTTTACGATGACGATCAATCTATGACTATCACTATATTGATACATCAATAACATACTATGTATTAATATATTATGTCGTAGGATTAATTTCATGATTGAGTTTGACAGACATATCAAATTGATATCTAGATACATAGGATTGAGGATCTCGATCTACTACTCGTGGAATCTCAGTCATTCTTTTTTATGGTAAAACTAGGTATATCCATCGTTTGATTACTTGACTCATTTGAATATTAAAATTTAATTATTTAAAAATAATCTAATAATTTAAATTATTTCTTTGTAGATAACTCAATATAAATAAAAGGACAATCCGGAATGCACCATAAAACTATTCTGAAAAAGATATATGTCACTATTCTTTGTTAATTTAGATTATTTTTGTTAAAATTATTCTTAAATTATATTTATTTTTAATTTAAAAATCCTAATATAATTTTATATTTTAAATTTTTTTAAAAAACTATTATAGTTTATTTTCCTTTACCATCAGTATGCCCGCCGTACTAACATATGATACATCAATCGGTAAGAGGACCCTGAAGAAAATAATATACCATGTGAACTACAAGTAATTAAATGATCTAAATACCTTTTAATATATATAAATTATCGAGTAAGTCGATCATTTGATAACCAAAACATTCTAACTAGCGGACCCAACTAGGTGGAGTTTCAATTCTCAAGTTTTAAAAATGGTCAGTCCAATCGAGTTTAGTAACTATGTTCGCTTGAATTTATAGTTACTAAAAATCTAGACCAGACCAACCAGGAGGATGGGAAAAGATCGAAATACCCCCAATAGTTATCACAAAATATAAGGATATTTAGAACATTAATTTTTTTTTTGGAAGATATTTTTATTTTATTAATCTGTGCCCGTCTTTTAAGGATTTTATGTATAGTTATTAAAATAAGAACTCTCACGTATTAATCATTTTTTCAAGTTATAGTTATAAAACAAAATTTTAGTTATTTTTATTTATTTTATTTAGTGCTATATAATATTGTTCATTTGTGCATTAATCTCTATCTAAAATCTACTAATTTTTTAATTTTTTATTTGTACAATAATTTATATTTCAAGTATAACTATAAATATAAATTTTTTTTATCTATTAATCTCTATTTCAAGTATAATCATAAAAATAATAGTTCAGATTTTAATACTCTTAATTTTTATTTATTATCAAAATAAAAGCTCAATATGTCTCTTTCATTCCTATAATCCTATTTCATTATATTATACTCTCTTTTTTTTAGTATTGTTCATATATTTTATATATTTAAAAAAATATTAAACATGTGGTCTGATTGTTGATCCACCTGCTCACCCAATGATCCAATGATCCAAGATTTGACAGCATCAGCATTCAATTTAGTTCTAATAACTATGCTTGGATTCTCTTCTATGTTGTGTCACTTGGTAGCTAATCTAATTTCTATTGTTGGCTTCCACTAACTCATCTTTTCTATTTTAGTAAGGAATTAAACTCCTTGCTACGATCATAAACATGTTTCTATTTTTTTTATCAAACACAACATTATATATATATACATATATATATATATATATTCTGATTATTCATAAGGTGCAACTGAACAACCCATTTACATGACATGACAAGCTTAATCAAGCCTCCTTAGAAGCCACTCATTTTATGACAGAAATTTTCACTGACTGACGATTTATCTTCTCTCACCGAACACTTTGCTCGGTATGGAAGCAGTTATTCCATTTTAGCTTCATCAATGGCAAGAAAAGATGAAACCATAACATAAAAACCTCTCCTTGATCGTCAACAGATGCTGTTAAGGTTGGCCAAGAAGCGATGGCCTGTAGAAAGCTTGACTCTGAGCCAGCTCGATCCTTTCACGAGGATCGTTCATGGTTTCATCTTGTAGCGCTTGAAGAATGGCTTGTGAAGGACACTCCCTGAACATCACATAGAATTCTTTTAACAAAAGAGGTTTTAAATTAAGTAAGAATACTTGTATTCAGCTTGAACGATGGAATAAATGAGAACCGATGAAGACATACATACACCCATCTTGAGACTATTAGTGCTATTATTTTAAACAAAGAATATACTATACACTGAAATGAGATGACAAATGTGATGACGATATATTTTAAACAAAGAACAGACTAAAGGCTGAAAGTAGAATAACCGTAATATCATGACCCGAGCCTGATGGGTTAACTGGCCTATCAACTTCGTTTGGTTTAAATCACTGATCAAAATGCTTAAGCTGGAATTGATAGTAGTACACTCATCAGATCCTTATAAATCAATCTTAATCTTGCCAACTTTCAATGTGGAACTAATCAGGGGTGTTACAATCACCCCCACTCAAAGGCTTAACGTCCTCGTCAAGGCCCAACACAACTCAGATTAGGCCCTAACATAATGCATGTGAGGCGTAGCCTAGTGGTGCTCTCACCATGCCCAAATGCTAGGTCGGCTCTGATACAATATATCATGACCCGAGTCTGATGGCTAGCTAGCCTATCAAAATAGTAGTACACTCATCAGACCCTTATAAGTCGATCTTAATCTTTTCCATGTTACACGTAATGTTAAGGAAAGAAAGCCAACCTTCTAATCAGTATTCTGTAAAGCGTTCTGAGGATGGGACACAGCTCAGCTGGAGCAACGGGTGTGTTATCCTCGGGATGCAACACGCTTAAGCTAGGCTGACTAAGTAGCTCATAGAATGCACCAATTGCAGAAACACCCTACAAGAAGAAGGAACTAATTAAATATCACTTGATTAAGAGGTTCAATGAAATAAGAATGCAATGCCATGCAAGATCATGAATGAAAACATGTAAAAATTCGATCATCAAAACCTAGACAATTTGAGTTGTTGTGTGAAAAGTAGAGCTGCAAAGCTATCGATCATCACATACCTGAATCATTCCTTTCCCTTTGATGCTGTCACCCATGTCAGGACTCAGTTCTCCCTTGGCAAGCATTTGCCCATACCATGCATTCCGACCCTTTAATAGGGTCACATAAGTATCCGCTAATAATGGACCAGCCAGTTTTTCTGGTTGTTCAGTCAACAAGTGAGTAATAAATATCATTTCAGATGTGCAATGGGCAAAGTACACTGATTTGCTTGTTGCACTCTCATTTGTCAGAGCTGCTACCATTCCTAAATAAATAAACAAACTATAAAATGAGTATGACAAGCAGTACATTTTCAACAGATTCAACTTAATAAGAAATAATTAACAAATCATGCCAAAAATTAATTTGACATAATCCTACATAAGTTTTTTAGACAAATCAACCTTCATTTATAATCAATAGACCAAGTAAATGAACTTCTTTACTGGCAAACTGGAATGAGTGCATGTAGTAACTGTGATGGAAGATGTTTTGTTGAGATTTTCACATGAAGTATCACATATACCCCATTAACACACATATATATCTTCTAGATCCCAAGCATTATATGAGATGCAATTTTTTGTTCCTGCCACCTTTTAAATTTTCAACTTCTTTTAATTAAGCGGTAAGGAACTCATTTGAACCTCGATCTATTTTTTCACATGTATGGACTTCTATAATCATCTGCTGAAACTCATGCATATCTTCAATAATGATTCTCTCTTTTTTCCATTTCATACTAAATTAAAGAAATTTCTGCTTGTTTTAAGTCTGCTACTAGGCAATCAACTTCTAAGCTCATCTTCAGCAATCGTTAAACATAAAGAGACTCCGTAGTTCATTTTCCTAATCTCTCCACATATTTTGACAAGTTGGCTACCAAGATGGATCATCACTCCTTTATCTCATCATTGTAACATTGGATTTATCACTAGCATAGAATTCCCTTTCTTATATTTCATTCTACCCTAGAATCATATATTTTCTGAAGAAAATAAAAAAAATTGAAAAATAGTATCTGCTGTACAAGGTTAACATTGATTATAAATTCATTGTGCTCATTTGCTCCAAAGTTAAATAACCTAAAACCAAAACTCGAGTGATTAACACAAAAGATTGAGAACACTACCTCTTAAAAGAGCAACGGCTACAAAATAGCCTCTTTAAAGGACTTACCAACACTTCTCTAAGAACAATGGTTGAGAAATAGCCTCTGTACTTTGATGAATGAGACATTTATGTCATTGTGCTAAGTACATTACCTCTTTAAAGAAAGGCTGCTGCCAAATTCGTAGAAGCCATTTCTTACAAACATCTTTATCAATTATCAGTACAATACAAAAAAAATTAAACAGAAGAAATTACAGTAATCATATATGCAGAAATTGTGTTATGTAAATAAGTGACTAAGTTAAAGATTCTTAATTGAAGTAGTCATATGAAATCATATTAAAATGAATGGGTCATTAGTTGATGCAAAAGGCCTTCAAAATATTTCTTGCAGTCTACCACATATTAAAGCCTTGACTTAGAAAATAGAAAAACGCCTCAGCTCCTCCAGTGTGGCGTAGCTTGGTCATTGAGAAGAATGGTTGGTATATAAGTTAGCAAGAACAGGAAATGTTGAAAGGAAACTTGCTGTTTAGTTGCCAAAGCTTTTCTAACTATTTAAAGCAATGAGTTTCTAAATACACAAGTGTTGTGTTAGTGTCCATAGAAACTGATCCAAAATATGTAACATACAATCAATATTTCTATTACCAAAATATGTATCATACAAAATGTTTGTAACCGTACAAAATGATACGGAAGGGTATAAGGGTGAAGAAGACAATGAAGTAGTAAGAAATATGTTTTCAGCCAGCACCAGTTATATTAGAAATTGGTCATCAATCTTGTCCTATTTCTATTAGGACTTAAGTTGACTAAATGACTTCACCATAATCAGTGCATGCAATTCACTCTCCAGGATTTGGAGTAGTTCTTGTTCGTGGCATCTCTTCAATGGTTTTGCAATAAAGATACACGGTCTTTCTCTGTGATTATCTCAAAAGGTGTTTAGTGAGGTGATGAGAGAGTGGTTTTCATGGGAATTTTAGCTAGTTACTAATGCTAAAGGGTTTCTCAATTAGAATTTAAGGTTTAAGTTGTGTGAATCATAAGGTGAGAGAATTGTGATCCTTATTCCCAATAGTGGAGAACTCTCGCTCTCCAGAGAGTATAGGCTAGAAACTATCATCTCCATGGTCAGAATCATCATTACTTATCTGTTCTTTTTAAGTGAGCAAGAACAGAAAGTCTCAAAACATTAATTATAGTCTAGCATGATTTTAATGAAAGCTCAACTCATGACACATCTCATAAACTGATACAAGATATTTGTTTTATCCAAAAGCTGACATCACCAAAATTGCTCATAGATACCAAGGCTACATGCAGTAAAGCACATTGGGGGATTGCTTTTCTGTTCATGCAGTCTAACCCAAGCAATAGCGTTTTAGAACATCATACACCAACTAATGCACACAACTAAAACGATGATCATTGCTAGCTACCTGCATTCATAGCTATGAAATAATTGAAGAAAACCTTTTAAGTTCCGTTATAGAAATTCTTATGAATAATACCAAAAATATCCTGCTAATTCAACAACTTGATAATCAGGTTATGAACCACAAAATTCTTGGTGAGTCACATGTTCAATGAATCTTCTGCTAATCCAACCAGTTAATGCACTCAGCAAACAATTATGAATTGCTGAATATGGTTTTCATTTTTGGGGAAAAAATGAAGTATTGGCAAGAAAATAAAATTTACCAGCACCAATAGCATAAACATTCTTCAAACCACCCATTACTTCATGAGTAACTAGGTCACTGTTGTCCCATACAATGAAATATGGCTGTCGCAAGAATTTGGCAAGAGGTTTGCTCCACTTCTCTGATCCACAGATTCGAGCATTAGCATATTCCTTGTTGTAAATCTCTGAGGCAATGTTTGGACCCCCAAGATAAAGAATGTTCTCGATTGGAACTCCAGCTGCCAATTCATGTTCATTACAGAAGAACTATGAGACGAGAATAACATTCATAACTACAGTCTATATCATGCCTAGAGTTGCAGAAAATAAAATATTACCAATGACCACAGAAAAAACCATAAAAAATAATTTATATATGAATTAGACTTTGGCTTAAAGACAAGGAGTGTTAAAATGTTGGCTACAGAAGCAACAATAAGTGCATTGGCCACCCATAAAGATAAGTGCATTAGCTCTCCAAAATGATGTGTATCAGGACTATTTGCTTTGTGTAAATGGATATAGCATATTAACACATCTATCTAATGACTGCAAAAGGAAACATTACCAAACCATAATTGTTTAAGTGGTGGTATCACAGTTGGCATGTCATAGAATGATTTCATACTTTTCTATGTTTCCATGTCTATGATTCAAGTAACTTGCTTCTTTTTTTTTGTTTCCCACTCCTTGCAGAGATGCAGGGATGGAAGTTGTAAATACTAAAAAAATAAAGAACAGATATATCATGATGGAAGCACAAAATATATTGGTGAGCCTTAGTAACCTATGTGATTATGCATTTTCTTATATATACAACGAGCGAAAAATGTTTACTTGCACATTTGATCATCTGAGTAGGTGTAATTATACGTGGGACGGGATCCAAAGCTGCCTCTATACCCTTTGCAAGAGAGATAATAATGGGAACAGTAATTCTCTCCTTCCAATACCTACTAATTTCCTCAAATACTTCCCTCGTCTCCGTGGAAGGCAGACCATTCACGACAATATCCGCATCCCATACTGCCTCCTGCAAATTAGTCACAACCTTCAATGGGCAAAATGGTGTATCAATCATGTTTAAGCAGAAACCATCCCTCAATATCTCATCGGCATACAGTGTTCGATCACCAAGCCTTGCCTCCACATACTTTAAATAGGCGCATCGTCTGATCAAACGCCTCAAAACATCCTCCCTTGAATTGATAACCTCAAACAGATGCTCAGCTGTGGATCGATCAACTGATCTACCAGGCCGTCTCCATATCCTTATCTGAACCTTATCACGAAAATGACCATAAGCATCTTGCAGGAGGGCAGCAAACACACTGCCCCAGGCACCAGCCCCAACACCAACGATCTTTAGCAGGTCACCATCAGTTTTGCCGAGGAGGCGACGAAGCTCATCTAGCTTTTCCTCAGCACCATTGGAATTGTGAAGGGAACCGTTCGAGTTAACAGAAGCATGATTCTTTTCAACAGTGCCAACCATCTTTCTCTCGAGTAGTGAACACAGCAGAACTTCACTAGTTCAGCCAGTAATAAGATTTGCTAAGAAATAATAGGAAATAAGCGAAGAACAGGGCTTGATTGGATGATGCCGTTAATGTGATCTCCCAACTCCAGACATCTTCCTTCTCCTGGAGAAAAAAATACGAGAACTTGGTCAGCCAAATTTGCAACAACAAGTTAATTTTCATGCCTCTTCTCGTTAATTGTACCTCACAGAATTAGAGAGCCGGTCTCCAACATGCCAGCCGACCAACGAACTGTAGATCTTCTCGAGCCAACCTACAAAGCTCCCAGCTTACAGGCATAATAGCACGCTTCAATCGTCCTATCCAACAATATCTGGCGAAATCAAACAGCAAAAGAAGCAAAGAACTGGAGAAAGCCTTCGGAATTGCCGTCGGGACTGTTCATCAAACCCACCTCACAATGAAAAAATAAAGGCAAAAAGTTTTGTGTCGGAGGCTCCAAAGCTACTAAAAACCATTCAGATCTCTCTCTCTCTCTCTCTCTCTTGTTCACTCCAAGTTCAATCAACCAAAGACCGCAACAAAAAGAGAGAGAGAGAGAGAGAGAGAGAGAGAGAGAGAGAGAGCTC